CATCTGGTGAAAATTTCATGTCATTAGCACCTCTAGTAATATATTTACTGAGAAAAATGGTGARGTGTTCAATACTTATTTTACCCGCTGTATTATGAACAATTAATATCTTACCTGTTGTAGATAGCTCTTTGAGCGACCTCAGTTTGAGGGAAAAGAGGCCAAAGTTAATTAGAGCRGTCTTAAACCACTTCAATCTTATACTTTTCAGAGTTTTATAAKCTTCAAATGTTAATATCACATGGTTTTCTACATACAATTTAGTGGCTATTTAAGAGTGTAAACAGCAACAGCAGCTAGCTGTAGCACTTTAGGTGTAGCCTGAAACACTCCCAACAGGAACACGATGAATTTCTGAAAGAATAACTGCATATTGTGACATTACCTTAACATTAAATAATTTAAATAATGTTCACGCTAACTGCTGTGACGCTAATCTGCTCAGAATAGCCATTAGCTCATCAATCTGGTTCCAYTTTAACAATTTCTCCACAGTGAGGTCATTTGGAGACAAGTAAAAATTAACTGTTCATAACAAATCCATAGAACCATTCTGAAAAAAGCTATTACTTTAAGCACAAGTGGTTTCTAGATCCACTTTAATCAAAGTGGCGGGAAAAAAGCAACAATTCTTTAAAAAATGTCAGGATAACGTGTAGTGCTAAACTCTGTTTTTATGTCTAAATTTGCAACCAACTTAACAAACAGAACCACTGGAGTAAAAGGCAAGCAAAGCAACTATCAAGGTTTAAATGTTTGTAAAGAGGACTAGATTTGCACTGTGGGTGGGGTTAACACGGCTCATCACTCACAGGCCAAAACATGAGAGAAAAATTWWAAAAAAAATCACAGAAAGAATATTCTTTGGACTGTTAGTTTTGTTTTGGGAGGGGTAGTACAATCTTCTTTTTTTTCCTTGCCAGCACTGAACAGTGTCTGAGTCACAGTAACACTGTGGACGTGGGAAAAAAAGAAAAAGACAAAAAAAAAAAGCTTCCTCAAGGATGCTGCTGCCATTTGCTGCACAGAGCGGAGGCAGTCAGAGGTGTGTCCACTGCAGGGAGAAACACCCTGCGTTTGCAATGCAGTAATTGTTGCTAAGTGCGTCTCAAAAACAAAAAAACAGACTYAAAAGTCCCCAAATCCGCAGTCAGATTTACTGGTTGAAAGGAACTAAAGCGTGACGACGATACAGTACAAAAATCACAAGAAAAAAAAAGATCCAAATCCACAGTTTGAAAATAAATGATCTGCCTGACAGAATAAGACTGGAATTTTTAGACTAAACCTAAACTATTACATGGATTAACTGCTTACTGTTCTTTGAAAAGGTGTCTTTGGCACTTTTAAAAGAGCTTCAAAAAAAAAAAAAAAAAAAAAAAAAAAAAGGGGGGGCAAACGTCAGTGAGACTGAATTGTGGCCCAACCTGCAACAGTAATCCTTCGTGGTTCAGAGCAGTTTAAGCAACAGTTCTTCTTAAATCCAAAGATTTTTCTTGACAATTTGATTTTGTCACATTTTTCGTCCTAACTTCTTAAACGTTTTATGATCATAATGTTTGGAGCCGCTGCTTTTTATTGCCGCCCGCTGCCTCTAAAGATGGGTAATAATGTCAAACGAGAATTAAAACTTTGGAATGCAGGGCAGCTGTAATTATGCTAGTTTTATTTAATAGTGTTTTGGCATTTGTTTTTTTACAAACTACAAAATATAAACAGAACTATTCAATCAAATCTCCTTATTATTCATAAATTAGCTCCACAAACTGTAACTCAACCTGACGGTAAACCACTAAATAACCTCTGTACGGCTGTTTCAGAGATAACATCACCCGCAGGTCACTTCACAGGGTGCAGTCAGCTCTGATTGACTCCATCACTCACTTGTTCAAATGGCTGATGACATATTTGAAGAGCTCGTAATTCTCTCTGGGAAAGCGTCGCAGGATATCCTTCATCGTCTGGAAGCGCTGCTCCCGATCGTTAATCTCTGGATGGAGGTACAGAGAGAGAGAGAAACGTCAGGTTAAAGACGAGGGAGGAAAAGGGGAAGAGATTAGAAGACTGTCTGGGGAGGATAAATACAAAAAATAAAAAATGAGGAGGGATGGAGGGAAGTGAAAACAATAAAAGAGAGGAATTTGAACAAGCATCTGGGAGTTTCAACTTTCTAATAATCTGGGCTGGACGGAGCCATTTTATTCTAAAAAACACATAATTTAAAATGACTGTAAAGTAAAACTAGGGGGGAGACCACACATTCCACTGACATACACCCGTTCTGCTCTTCCACACATTACTGCAAATCGCTTACAAACACACACACACGCAGGGTGTGTTAAAGCTCGACGACGAGGAGGAATGAGTCAGAAAACCTGACGTCACCGGCCAACCCGGTGCATTCTGCGCGTGTGAGCGAGGCAGAGCTGCAGCGAGAGCAGCAGATGTTCTCCTCCACATCACAAACACCGTTCGCAAGATCCCACTCCGTATTCCCACAATGAGGTCAGCGTGGATCAGAAACAGGTTTTAAGGCAGGGGTGGGGGGTGGGGGTTATGGAGACTCGGGTTCCCTCCCCGCTGCCCGTCCAGTAACAGTGATCGCAAACTTGGCCTCCTGCGGCCCATTTGACGCGACGTTAACTGTGACGGGCAACTCTAATTCCATCAAACCTCCAACAACATGAATAAAAAACAGAAGTCAGAAGTTCTGCCTCCCCCTTTCCTCCCTCTTTCTGCTGTCGCGGCACAAACAGAGAGGTTCATCGGGTCTTTGTCACGGTTGGACGGTCATGCCGGAGCCGCTGGGGAAAAACTCGCAGCTCTGTGAGCGACAGCGGCTGTGCGGGCCGTGGGRAAATCTCTCCGGTACCGCACGGGGCTAAGCTACACTTTAAATCTCCGTTCTGACAGATTACAGAACACAGAGAGAGAGAAAAAAAGAGGCAGGAGTTCATCAAACATATTGTCTCGTGGCTTCATTCAGACGCCGGTGCTTCTGCATCTTTTCGTCACCGTGTGCAATCATCCTTACATCCTTCTTTACAGAGCCTGAAATTTTCTTTCCTCTCCATCTCCTCGGTATAAAAACCCAGCAGCAAATCGAATTCTCCCCGAGGATAGATTTGGATTGCAGTTTTGCTTGTTAGAGCTGAAGAAACACTACAATTCAAGGAAAAGGGAATTTTTCCAAGTACACCTCGTATATTTAGTGAGTGAGATCCCCATGTCCCTGCCCACCCCCTCACCCCCACCCTTCCAGGACTTACTGAAGGCCTCCACCAGCTCAGTCTGCATGCTGTAGGGCACCAGAGGATCAGGGAGCTCAGAGAAAAAGGCCTTCATGGCTCCTGCGACTGTGTTGATGGTGAAGTCTTTCTCCACCAGGTCCAGATTGTGGTCTGGAGGGGGGAATAAAAAAAATACAGACAAGCATTGACAAGTTAAAAACGTCACAATTACTGACATGAATTACAAGAATTGAGTCTTAACATGTAATGTTCTGCTGGGAAACCAGCCATAAGGCTAGTATCTCACTGGGCGTTGACTGTTGGAGATTAGTTAGTGAACAGTGTCTCCAAAATGTGTCAAAGGTTCACGGTGGTTCTCATTTTTCTGAGCCTGTCTAGGGAGGGGTTCTGGGCATGTCCAACTGGGAGAAGACTCCAGGGAAGACCAAGGACACAATGGAGAGACTTTGGCTGTAACTCACACCAGCCATAGTTTGTTTACCTAGAAATTCCGGTTTGTTTGGGGAGGTGTGAATGCATAATAAAACTTTGATGCAGACCAAAGAAGCGAACTCTGGTCCGCCTACAAACCCGGGTCTCGGCTCTGTTAAATGGTCCCTTTTCCACTAACACCTCTACAGGACGCTTCAACTTAACACTTCTAGTGAGTGGGTTCATCATAGAATTGGGCGGTCCGAGAGTTCGAAAATAGACGCCACACACCTAGAGGTATTGCTCCATTAAAGTATTTGCCAGCCACCATTAAACATAGTAGAAGGAAAAAAAGATACACAACACAACAATAGAGGACATGGTAGTGCTGTTCTTCCAAACGGTGGATCAGGTTGTTGTGAGAGTAGGTTCTGTGAGTCAAGCAGTGACTCCACCCCCTAACCAATTAAAGGGATCCCTGATTAGTTGTAACATTAAACTTTATTTGATAAACATATATTTTAACTGTAAAATAAAGACTGTAAAGATAATGTACGCTGTTTAGTTTTGTAAATTTTAAAAATATATATTTTAACACGGACAGGGCCATTTTATTTACACACAAAGCATTCTGGGTAAATGATGACGTGGAGAGGTCCTCGGTGTGAGCGAGCTATATCCACCCTGAAGGTTAATCTTGGACAATATCTGATGATCGACTCTTTTAAATGAAACCAGAGAGCGTTGACAGAGAGGAGAAGGTAGAAATGACTCAGCCTGMAACTGAAAATATGGATGGAGGACAACAGAGCTGCTTCATGGAAGAAGAACCTCAGCTTAGCCWGTTAGCCTTTGCGCTAGCWCCGACGCTATATTGCCTTATGTGTATTAGCTCGGTGCTAGTGTGACAAACAAGCTAAACTGAGGTCCTCCATCCATGTTTTCAGTTGCAGACTGAGTCATTTCACAGCGAAGGAAGTTCTAAATAAAAAGGGTCTGTTTCCACGAATCCTTGCTAGTGGAAAAGCCTTGGAACCGTGGAGAGCCAAGTCGAACCATGCTGTAGAGGCACCAGTGGAAAAGGGCCAAAAGTGAGCTCTGGTGGAGCTTGAATGCATGTGTAAACGCCTAGTGAGACTGTTCCAAATGCAGGAAGCAGACTATAACACAGGGCATTCTGAGTAATAWTAGTAATAAAGTCACTCAAAGGCTTTGTTCTATGTCTGTATAAGGTGGATATCACAGCTATGTTGATTGCACTTCTACTCAGTGCARGCCGCCTCATACGGAGCCGTCTCAGCGGCGCTGTGTGGAAAAACAACATTCTCCATGGTCTTCTGCCTCATCTTCCTCTCATGCTGAGCCCATTGTTGAAGAGCGCTTGTTTGGCCAAAACAAAAGAGAACTCCTACAACTGTTCAGATCTGATGCCAGTCCATTTTCATGAAGAAGGAATCTGAGCTCAGTGTCTTGTTCAGAGGTTTTGTGTCGTTTCCTTCAGTGGTTCTTGATGCAGCGTCATCAAAGGTAAAGAGGTGGAAAGTTGCTCAAAGGATTTGGTTCGTTTGGCATAGGGCAGTGTGACAGCGGTCCGCACCAGCTGAAAACATAACAAATGTTTAAATTTTGGTTCCAAGTCTACCAGACCATGAGGTGTGGAAACACCCTGTGTCAGTAAGTTGGCCTGGGAACACCTTGGAGTCCTKCCAGAAGAGCTGGAAGYGGTGGCTGTGGAGAGGTCTGGGCCTCCCTGCRCAAGKTGCTGCCCCCATGACCCATGASCCATGGATGGATAGACTACGTTAAATAAGGAGTAAGTTAATATTATACACCCCATATATAAAGTTAGTTTGAGTGACAAAATGTCCTGAGAGTAAAACCATCAGAGCGTCACTTATAAAAGTAAGAACAAGTCATTTCTRGGTCGTTTTTCTTTACAGTAATGAGATGAGTTTTAATAAAACTATAATTAGAGGGTTCTTAAAAAAGGCACCCATTGCGACAGTTTTCAGGTTTGGTGCCTTTGCTGCTTCCTCCTCCTGAAGTTAAGTTCTTCAAATTTTCAGGGTGCCAATCAGGAGCAGTTTTCAGTGCAGATTTGCGACACCTGTGCCACAAGTTTCACCTGTAATTGTCTCGTTCCGCTGGCCGATGGCTCAGAATGATTCAGTGCAGCTTTTCAACTCTGATTACCTGGGTTGAATTTAACCTCAGAAAGCATGGAAACACACACACACACACACACACACACACACACACACACACACACACACACACACACACACACACACACACACAGAGGCTATCCTGCTCTGCTATCTATCACGACAACAACATGCTTCATTAACCAAACCAATCTGGAGGCAATTAACTGCCCGCGGCAGACAGACTCTCGCATGAAGACACACAGAGAGCACCTGAACGCGTGTGCTGATGCACACCGGAGCAGGTAGAAGATTGTCACGGCAGCTCGGCAGTCAAAAAGGACCCAACAGTCAATTAATCCTCCCCAGTTGAGTCAGGGAAGTTCTTAAAAATAGAAGAATCTTTACTGCAATTTCTTTGCGTTCACCCAGTAAACAGAGTAAATCTGTTGATTTGTTTTACCCGCATTTTAAACCGTTCCTATGTTCGTGATGCCGAAAGCCCATCTGTGGACCTCAGTTTAGGCGATAAATGCTTGTCCCTCTACGACTAAACAAAATGAAAATGAACGGAAGGAAAAAAACACTCACCTTGTTCAAATTGTCGCTGCACGCTCTCAATCTCAGCCTTGTTCCCGCTGACCCTGTAGATTCCCTCCGTGCTCAGTCCTGCAGGAAAACCGAGAGGAAGAACTGCTGTCATCTCAGTGTTTATTTGTAAGAAGCAGTTAGAGGCAGATGATAAGTCACCTGCAAAAGCTCATCTGTACACAGRGTCGTGTATCAGTGCTGCGTACAGGACATGTGCACCCAAAAAAGCTGGGGAAAAAAAAGGTGGGGGATCTTCAGGAAGTGTTCCCAGGTGTAGCCTCCTCCATCCTATTACAGCGTTAGCACTATTTATTAAAGCTGTAAAGAACTCCTGCAGGCCTCGGAGCTCATCGGTGCCGTGTGGAACAAATGAGACCGCCTCAGTGTCACAGTGGAGTAAAATGGCTCTGGGAGACGTGAATACTTTTTCTGTCATGTTTAACTTTATTCTTGTGAGGCCTGTTCATAGAAGAATAGCTTTTGCTTAAAAAAACACACCACCTATATTGATTTATTTTAAAAAAAGCTTGTTATCAAATTTAAGGGTTCAATGTCTGATGTCAATTTTTAAAAAATCAGGACTGATTTGTACATATGGGTTGTAGATTTATCTCATAAATTTAATGGTTTATTATTTAGACACAATGCAGAGCAGTGTGCAAAATTGACAAATGACAAAAAATAAATAATAAAAATTMGACCATTGCTTACAGCTGATGTGTCAAAAGAATAAAAAGGAACAAAGCTCAGAAACAGCTGATTAGAGAAGCTCAGATTCCAACAGATTACAAATTTAAAGTTTAGATTTTTTTTAAAACGATGCGTAGCTCATTATCTCTAAAACCGACATAACTATAAACATTTTTGTGTTTGCTGAGGCTGCCTGCACAACTGTTCATCTAATGATTCCTGTCTGGTGGTTTCACTAAAATCTATCCACTATTCAGAAGATATTTTGCTAACAGATGGACAAKATTAAGCYCAGAACAAAGGATGTTTTATGGTGGCGAATGATAAAAAAAAGACCAGGCCACTAGTGATGATGTAATCAAGGTGCTGGCTCTAATTAAAACCCACAAACAGATGTTATGTTTGAAAAGTAAAGTATGTTAAAGCATGAATTTATATTATGGTTAAAATTCTTTGACATCCGCAGGTGTGCAAAAAACAAACAAACAAACAACAATAAAACATGTTCTTTCTATAAAAAAAGGTCACCAAAAGATGAGATGTGTCTTCATTTTTAACTCATTTTTCTCAGGCTTCGCCAGTGCTGATCATTTTTAAAAAATGGCTCCAATTACTTGTCTGACTGGTTGCCTTTAAACCAAACTGATATTTTGTGGAGCGAAAATGTTTACGCCTGTTAAAGGGACTGATTGTTTTCAAAAACAGGAACAAAATGGGTGTAAAATTTCTGCCACTGAACTCCGACTTGGGCAGAATTTAGCCAAGATGAAACATTTAAAACTATCAGTCTAACCGTTCTGAACTAACAGCTACTCCTTCAACTGAAAAATGACGTCTAACTGGTTGATTCAAAAATATTTTATTAGGAAAAAAGACACCTGAATGTTTGAGTCTGTACTTATCTGTGCCACCAACCTTCCATTTGAATTAAAAGTTTTCCAAAAGCCCCCTCGTGACTCGTTGCTTATTTTTTCTTCTTCATGTGTGRGCCACTTAAAACGTTTGACCTCGACTTGTTTCTCAGAAAGATGTCACTAGAGAGGTGTTTTCAATTTATTCCCTTTTGGGGATGATGTCAGTGCATTTCTCAGAAAACTGACATTTGAGGATTTAATGGGTGGGATAGAGATTTCACCTTGAATAATTTGAGAGCCAAACACTGCCCAATGTCACCAAACAAATCTGAAATCAAGGGTACGGAGCAAACACAAAGGARGAGGTGGCATTAGGGACGAGATTCAGAGTAAATAAGGATGTAATGCTCAAGCTCTACTAGAATTTCTAAAAACTGAATAAAACTAMTGGCCGTTCTAGAAAAACAAAGATCTCACAGGATCAGAGTTGGTGTTGGGGATGAGTATTATCACAAACAAATTTTAGCTCAACAGCTAAAAAATGACTGATTAGCTGTGACGAAGTGTAGYAGGTAATTTGTTATAGATGTTTATCCAATGATAACACTAAATATGAAAAATGTAAATAAAAAAAGGAAGTTTTAGCTGAATTATGTTTGAAACAATACAGCAAGCCACAATATTTTTAAACTCTTGAATTACAATTAAGATGTTCAACACCTTTAATCTCAGTAAACAATATCCATATCAAAAAATTAAATCACGTTGTTTATGAATAGGTATTGTCAGCTATTTTATTAAATACTAGAGCTGCACAATATTTTGTTTGAGTATTGTCATTGCAGTGTAGGTGTGAGCAATACTCACATTGCAGGTCCAGTGATGTAGGAGGTACATTAAATCAATTTTACGTTAATGCTTTTATTTTGACGGGTTGCTTCTGCCGGCGAAAGCAGGCGACTTCGTGTCAAAAAAGCTAAAACTTTCATTTTATTGTGAAACCTTTGGGACAACAATGGCAAGATTTTTCAGGCAAGTGTTTTTGATGAAAATGATGAAGATGGGCAAAGTTGCAGAGAAGAGGTTAAATAAAGTTAGCATGAACGGTAATATTAAAGCGTGATGAAAACAGAAACTTCGATACAGAAGTAACACGTTAGGTGGTAAAACGCAATTCACGTGTTGCACATGATAGAAGGAAGCATGTATTCAGGTTCCAGCACAATAAAAGCCAGCAATAAAAGGTAAGAATAACTCAAATACAGARAACATTATTGTAACACACAGAATAATGGAGGTAAGATCAGTGCAAGTTTACTGTCAAGAAGATAGCAGCATAACGTAGAGTGTTATTCAAGCCATCTGTTGAAAACTCCTGTATTTTTTCATTTTGCAATATAAAATGCAGATTAAAAAAAATAAAATTCCAATAAATGCAGCCTTAGTAGATATTTTTAATTTTTAAGGAAAAAACACCAGATACCAAGTTAAAGACAGACAATAATGATGTGAAGAAAAGYCAAACAGATTCCAGAGTCCCTTCTTTTTTTTTTTTCAATTTGCAGGAAGATAAGGATTTTCATCTCCCGCCCATGACTTTTTCTTCTCACTCACACTTTTAGAGGAACTCGAGGAGACAGACTATTCCAATGAGTGAGAGAGGCTTAAAGGCAACGGG